CCCCCCCCCCCGCTTCCCGACATGTCCGATATTTAGAGCAAGGCAAAACTATTAATAGAAACCAGGACATGCAAACTCACCATAACCCAAGTGGCATGAAAACACTTTCCGTGCGAGCATTGGTGGTTCAGTGGTAGAATTCTCGCCTGCCACGCGGGAGGCCCGGGTTCGATTCCCGGCCAATGCAGCATGCGTTGATTTTTTTTTTTCCTTTTCTCCTTGGAACTGCAGTGCAAAATATTCTGATTGAATTTAAATACATTTTAGAAATGTAAGGTGCGTATTTTGCATAGTACCACGAGCTTGCAAATAAACCCCAAGGCTTTCCCTCCTACTTCAGGCCATGGCTTTTTCTCCTCCGATTAAATTGTGCTCTTTGCAATCTATCTTCATTCGGGATATCTCAGTGCTAATTACTACACAACTCGTCTCCTCTCTCCATCCTGCTATCCTTGCCAGAATAATAAACGGAGCAGTACAATTACTCCGTATAGATACAATTATAACAGTTAACACACTGGTTCTCAATTAAAGTGTTCTGAGATCCTTTCAGGAGTGGCTCCGTGTGCCACAATGTTAGCATTGATAAGTCACAGGACATGGTTCATAAGATAAACCCATTGATTTCATATAGACAGGCAAGGTTCTTTGAGTGATATCTTTTATTAAACCAACTGGGAAAAAAGTTGTAGGCAAACTTTCGGACGCAGTCACCCTTCTTCCGGCATAGGGAGTCTCTGCTGGTCTGTAATCTAATAAAAGATATCACTCAAAGAACCTTGCCTACCTAATGTCCTTAGACCAGCACGGCTATAACCAGCAACCCAGCGTTGATTTCGTATTACAGGAATTTGTAGTGTTTGAAACTATTCACATGAGTTCTTTGCAAGAGAAGAAATGATCTGTGATTTTTCTGTAGTCAAAACACCTAGTGAAAACTAAGAGCTGGCATTTTCCAAGGGGTGCCTGTAGTTTAATGGGGGGTGCCTTGGATCTAAAAACTTTGAGAACCACTGACTTAAGACAATGCTTTTGAGATGCCCGTATTCCCAGGGACAACCACAAAATGCTGCAGATACTGCCTGCACCGAGATATTGACCCTCTTATTGCAAAGATTTTTCATGGGGGTGAGCATAAGATTGACTCCTTGAACTAGTTTCCACCCATTCAACCCAAAAGGCTGGTTCCAAAGAAAAACTCTCACTAGGAGGGTAGTAAAACACTGAAACAGGTTACCCAGAGAGGTTGTACAATCTCTGTCCTTTTAGATTTTTAAAACCCAGCTAGATGATTTTTAAGACCCAGCTGGGATGATTTAGCTGGGGCTGGGGCTGGGGCTGGTCCTGCTTTGAGCAGGGGGTTGGACTAGAAGTGGACTCCTGAGGTCCCTTCCAACCCTCATTTTCTATGATCCTATAAAATAAAAGAAACAGGTTTCATAGTTTCATAGTAGCTGGGGTCAGGAGGGACCTGATCAGATCATCTAGCCTGACCCCCTGCCACAGGCAGGGAAT